TATGAGGTAATTCTATGGCAACTTAAGAATTGATTAAGAGGTGCAACATTAGTATTTCCATTCTTATCTTTTAACAAGAAGGGAAATTTATCCGGTATTGATCTCTGAATCCAGATAAGTAATCTCTTGCCCGTATTGGATTTTTTTCCATTGAAAGGAATGGTCGAGGTTCTTCTACATCACCTTTATTTTTTGCATAACCAATACAGTACCATGAATGGTCAGGATTATACCATGACTTGCTACTTGGTTTGTATCGGTTGATACGAAGATTTTCCACATCTGCCGATCGCATACATAGCATTATCATTACGTCTATTAGATTTTGCATTGAAGGAGGCTTGGTAATATTACATTCGTTAAGTCTTTTCTGAACTTTTTCCAGATAAAAAAACTCAGGACAATCGTAACCATTAATTCCACGAAGTATACGCTTTCTTGCTTGAATCTGATTTGCTTCTTCAGTAATAAAAGGTATTTTCGTTACCTCAGTAATGAGATAATCAGCTTCTAAGCTACGCAACTCTTTCCATAATAAATTAAAACGAGAATTTCCTGCAACAGTAGTAGGAGCAGAAGAAGCCAAGTCATATGCTTTTCCATTTATTTCTTCAGGTGAGAGATTATTTTTTATAATATCTTGGGCAATAATTTTAATGGGATCTCTTTCATCAACATGTCTCCCAGGAGCTCGAATAGGAATAAGAGTATCAGCTTGCTCCTTACTTAATCCCAATTCTTGGAAGCATCTTTTTGCCTGATCTCTGGCTTTTCGAGCCTGCTCTTTTGTCTTGCCATTTGAAAGTTTACTAGCCAACTCTTCGACATAACTACTAAGCTGTGGTAAACTAGTTTGTAGAGTCAATTTGTAGTGTTTTACAAATGATGTAGCGATTTTTGCCATGGTTATATATGTCAGTTAATATGATTGAGATGTTTTATATAGACTATTTTCGTCTGATATATACTATGGAGATTCTTTTTTCAAATCGAAATTAATTATGCTTTTTTTTCTCATACTCAGAAAAAGAGCGTATATGGCTACCTATAGGGTAACTGGGATATCGATTTAAAGTTTACCAATACATAGGATATAACGAAAAAAATATATAGCTTTGGAGTGGCAATTTGGGCTATATTAAGATTTATGATTCATTTTTATTTTTTATTGTAGTGTTCTCGCTATAGCAAGTATATGTTCTGGACCTAGAACGTCTGCTTTACTGAATGCATCATACAAGGCATTTGGCCTATATTTCGATAGAGTTAAATTTGGGTGATGGAGGAAATTCATGAGAATATTATTTCTCCATTCCCGAGTTTCTCTACTATTTCAGCATAATTTTAGCAAATCACATATGGCGAATTCATTCCAGTTTGCCTTAAGCAGGATTTCTAGTAAACTTACTTTCCCATCGATTTTTGTAAGAAGACTTTTTTCTGCAACGATATCCCAAATCTTATTAGATACAAAAGATAGACTTTTTCTTAGTATTGGCATTTCATTGAATGGTGGAACCAAAAGTCTTTCTTCTCTCCAATGTATATAATCATCGCATAACAATCTATTATATGCTGACCCATTGATTGCAATCATACGATTCGTTTTGGGGTTATATATTTTTGGTTTTTCTGAACGTCTAGGTAATTTGAATAACTCTTTAGTGGTAATTGTTTCTTTATTATACTCCAGCTCTTCGGTGTACATGATTGGTGTGTTAATAGTTATGAAAATAATAATAGTTAATTGTTACTTATGAAAATGATAAGTTTAATTGGTTATTTTTCAAAGACCTAGATTATATACGAAAAAATTAATGATAATACTTATCTAGTAATTTGCTTCACAGGTATAGAAATTAAGTGCGTAGAGTTTCTTTTACATTCTTCTGTTTATAGCGAAGCTCGTGTCTTTGACATATAATATCTATACGCTCTTTCCCTACCTTGTCCACATGGTACACAAAGCTGAATACTCGATTTAGTTCCTCGCCCACATCCTTTACATGGTTGGGGAATTATTATACTCTTTCGAATTTTGAATGCATGGGGGGCGCAATATTCTCCTCTCGCTGGGTTTTTACATAAATGGATATCTCCAACTAATAACCAATTACAAGGCATTTTCAATTTACAAAGTGGTTATACTATTCTATTATCACTTTCATATTTAAAATCAAAGTAGGAATGAAGTATTGACTAAAATTTTACCAAATAGCATTTTAGGTGTCACAAAAACCAGTATATAACACAAAGTTTGCGTAATATTTTTTATCTGAAAATTTTTATATTGACTAGTTTGTAAGAGCAAAAAATCCCCCCTACCTACGAAATTCACCTTAGTATGTATAGTGATCTTACTATAGATATCCATTTTCCTGGAGTATCGTTATTTTTTCTATCCATTTCTCATCATCATAACTCCTTGCTAGGGGGTTGCCATCGTCTTCATACAATCAGAGCATAATTTCCTCACTTATTAATCGTTCTCGTCTAGACATGTCTATTAATGTATTTGGGTCATCATCAGTATCTTTTGCGAATTGGATCATATCTGCGTCCGAACATAATCTATCATGGTATATATATGCTAAATCCCTATCTTTTTCAGTTATAGTCATAAAGACTTCTGGATCCTCGCCATGATCTACAGCCCACTGTCTGAGACGTTTTTCCCTTTCTGCTTGGGGTATATATCCAGGTGGATATGATTCCGATTAGATGTTGGCTTTTTTGTTGCTGGGTTTGGGTTCATCATTTGCAGGCAAGTTAGAAGAAATCTCGGGTTTATCATTCACCAAATCAATGATCTTGGGAGAAGGTTCTGCTTTATCGTTCATAGGTTCTACATGTACGATCTCAGAGAGCAGAGATATATCAGTAGACACTGATGTCAAAGCAACTGAACATTCTGGTTGATCTATTATTGAGTCAAAGAGGTCTTGGGACATATCGGTAATGGCTGAGGTAGACACTATTTCCTTACCTTTTTCGATGTTATTGGTGATCGATGACTCGGCTATATTTTTTACTGGTTGAGGATTTATTGCAAGGCAATGACCCTTTGGGTCTACAATTTCAGGTACGTTAAATATAGGGATATCTGTGGATACGTCAGAGAATGTCTCGGCTTGAGGTGCGTCAGAAAATTCCTCGATATCACCTACTGATTCACGTAGCTTGGTCACGATTTTGGAACGATCGAGGATATACTGCCATTCTCTTTTTCCACCACCAGCACGTTTTCGTTCAATGTTAACTTGTAGGATTTTTTTCCCAAAATTATTATTACTGAATGGCTTTTCACCATTAGCTTCACACCATGTACGATATTCCTGATATAACATAGCACAACCCGGTTTTTTAATTTGATCTTCTGACCATACCGAAATATGATCAATTATGAATCGGATGGGATTTGAGAGATGCTCACGCATCGTCTCTGTTTTTATTTTAGTGGTAGGAATATTTTCTTGTGGATTCTAATTCGAAAGGTTTTGATCAAGTAAATAGCTCATAAAAGATCCAGGTGTATCGGGATGGTTGAGAATTTTTCCCAACTGACCAAAATATTTAAAATTACCTTTACATCGAGATGAAACATCTAAACATACAATACAACCATCTCCTTGCTCAACACGGATTGGGGCATTATGATTACTTAATACTATAAATCTGGAAAAATGACCACATTCTTGATTTTCGAGACCTTTACGCTCAATTGAGACGTAATCTTCTGTAATTAGAGATTTTAAGTAATCATTTGACTTATGCCATTCTCTACTTAACATTCCCGCTTCATTCATAATTATAAGTTTACGTCCTTGAATACTACTGTTGAATTTTCCCAAAATTTTGCCTAAATTGGATGTTGAATATACAAGCTCTGGACCGAATAAACTTTTTTGAATAAAATCAGTAATAATATTTTTCCCATATCGTGGCGATGAACGCAAAACAAGAATTGTACCTAGAATTATTGCTGGATACTGAACTAAAAATGCTAACCATTTGAGAACATATGTAGAAAGAACTTTATTCCCATCACACCAGATATTTTCTATATGTATATAATCGGGTTCACAAGATCGTAATTAATTCGAGATGCCGGTTTAGCCTTGAATCCTAAGAAAAGATTAAAGAATTCGTTTTTTGGTTATTCGATATTATGTGGATATGGTAAGAAATCAATATCATCATAAATAATCACCTTGCTGTCATATATACGATCTATTAAAGAGATCAATTTTATTGGTTCTCCTCCAAGTTCTACTATATTAATAGTTATTTTACCGAAATCAAGAGTAGGTGCCATGCCAAAGTATAATCTA